GGAGGGGATGTTACAGGGAGTAAAATGAAGTGCCCTTCCACAAGTCCTTGTAGAATTCATGCTGGTAAAATCAGAAAACAAAGCAAGCCATTCAAAACAAGCCAGGGACATAAAGATATCCTTAAGAGGTCTCAGGCCAGAAGCAGACAATAGAATAGCTAAAAAGATAAAACTCCTTAATTAAAATCCTTAGTAAAAAGATATATATTTGGTTTTCAGGCAAGCATGCATTATTTAAGGGGGAGTTTGGGAATTCTTGAGTGTTTTAAGCAAGTTATGTTTGCTATTGTACTTGCTTCTTTATTTTAACTTTGTTGTTACTGGGGATGGGCACGAACCACAAAAATGGCAGAAACACAAATTGTGGCCAAAACATGAACCAAATCACAAACTGATATGAACCGGAAGGTTGGTTCGCAAACTGAACCAGTTCATAGTGGTTTGTGACCCCTGCTTTCTACTCTCTGACACTTTTTGCACGGAGCAGAAAGGAGGGGGTTAAATGGCTCAGAGTGCCACGCCACTCAGCTGTTTGTTGTGAAGAACAGAAAGATGGGAGTTAAATGGCTCAGAGCCAATTAAACCCTGTGCTTTCAGCTCTTCATGAACCACCATGAACTGCCTTAAAATTCATGGAAGTTCATGGCGACTCTTCGGTTCACAAACCATGAACCAGCCAAAATCTGTCACAAACTTACATTCATGAGCCGGTTCATCCCTAGTTGTTACCTACTTTGGGTGCTAATTTTTGGAGAAGAAAATTCAGACCTATAAATGTTTAAAATAAGTAAATGAGCCTTTCACCCCCATGTGTAATTTGAGTCACAGTGCTGCTGGGATTCCACATCAATTATTTTGCATGCACCCAGTCTCTATCACAGCTGTGCAGTGGACGGCTGCATACAACCATTTATCCCACAGCTGCTGCCACTCCTAAACCTATCACTGATACATAACTATAGCTCCAGTAGGGGGCAGTGGGACATAATGGACAGAGACTGACCAGGACTCAATTGTGCTTGTTAACTTTTGCTTGATTGCCACTGAACACTTCCAAACAGATTTCCACAGAAGCTTGGTTTCCTTCACTGACCTGAATTCAGCCTTAGGGGCTGAGCTGCACTTCTATTGTGGGTTGATTCACCTAGAGCTGACCAGGTCTAGTTCTCTTGTTCTGCCCAGGGCCACAGCTCTTTCTCTTGGTTTCCTTTCCTCCCTTGCCTGTGCTGTCTTGCCCTCTCCAAGCCAGCTTGTCCTCTCTCCCTCTCTGTCTTCCTCCTTCTCATCCCCTCATATCTCCATTTTTATCCTTGAGCTCTACGCACACTGGCTAAGTCCAGCTCCAACCCTCCCTTCTCTGGGCCTTGTTCTTCCCTTCCTTGCCTTGCCTTGCCACATCACAGCCATGGTTATAGAGGAGCTGCTGCCTTTTGCCCAGTAGGTCAGGACTCTTCTAGCTTCTTCTGCCTCTTTTTTGCCACAACAACTGATCACAAACATAGGAGAAAACAGTGTGAACCCTTGTTAGCTGTTACCGATATGAAAGTTAACCACGGTTACAGCCTGTGGAAAGAATTCATGCTCCAAACAGTAGGAAGAACAACATGTTGGCTTGGATCCCATCAAAATTTACTCCAGGTGGTAGTGCAACTTTCTAGCCACTCCCTTCCATTGCTGCCAAAAATGTCCCAAAATGTTTCTCCTGGGGGCTGAAGACTCCCAGGAGACAGCATGACAGGGGAGTTGGAGGGCTGCCACAGGAGGGTGGCAATTCAGTGAAAAGTGTCTCCCCTGCACTCATAGATCTGTCCAACAGGATCCAACCCAATGCTTCCTTCTTATTGGCTACCCCTACTTTTACAGTTAGATTACCATGATGTCATCTGTAGCAACCTGTCTTGTAGAAGGTCATGCAGAAACTCAGGAACGGGCTGCTGCTATTAGTATTTTTTTACAGTGCAAATCTATTGGGAACTAGTAACTGTTGCTTCTATACATGGTACAGTTCATAGCTCCTGGGAGAACAGGGTTGTTGTTTTTTTAACAAATCAGACTACAGCACAGCAGGCACATATGTTGCAAGAAGACATATTCTGATATCAACATGTTATAGGTGTCCATTTATTTTGCCACATGTTTGTATGTAGATTACTCTGGAATTCAATGTTAATTGGGGTACTTGACCTTACAACATTTCTGTCCTTCCACAAAATAATTTGCTTCCTCCTCACTGGAAGATCAGAAAGAGGATTTCAGATTGTCAAATCAACAGTTGTGTATCAGTATGAGCACAGTCCACTTTAGCTGAGATGTTTCCCTGTGCTGTCTGCCATTAAAAACAAATTAACTATTATTACTGTTATGTAATAATTAAATGATGAGAAATAGCTGAAGGAAAGGACTGAACAGGGATAGCAAGGAACAGAATGCCGAAACTGAACACCAACAGATCAGTTGCCACCAAGATAAGAGCTGGACAGATTCAAAAAACCTTTTAGCAGTTGAAAACAGAGACCCCTTGATGAGACAGTACAGTGAATTCATTTAGTGCACTACACAAACAGACTTGTCTTCCATCACAACAGCTTTTTTCAGTTTTATCTCAATTCCAATCCAAACCAAACAATTGATTCTCTTCATCTTCAGCTGAAATACAATCTTGAGGCAAAAGGTTGTCCTAGATTTTGTAGCAAAAGAGATCTGACAAAAGTGTGAAGGGGGGAGAAAATTATATTATCAAGATGGTGACTGCTGAAATCACTGCTTCTTGATGAAGAGCTGTTCCAAGATACAAATACTGCCATTTTTACTCTTTGCCTTGGTACTCAGGGAATCAGCTAGATGAAGTTAGGGGAGTCACTGTAGCAATAGTTTCTATTATTTTGAACTATTGCTATAAACTTATGTAGAACGGTGAGTGTATAAATTCCAAGATATGAGAACTACTGGGCTGTTCCCTAGAGACTGAAGAGTCAGACCAGATTCACATTCCCATATGTGTTAATGATGGAAGGAAGGAAGGAAGGAAGGAAGGAAGGAAGGAAGGAAGGAAGGAAGGAAGGAAGCAAGGAAGGAAGGAAGGAAGGAAGGAAGGAACCAGTCATGGAGAGAAGCAACATATATGGGCACTGTGTCACTGCAAAAAAAAGAGAGAGGGGAGCAATATAACTTTCCCCCCTTCACAATGAGCCATTTCCCCAACTGAGGGTCAAACTGCTACAAGTTGGGTCAAGATCCCCTGACTTATTTTAGGGACAGGTATGATATCAGGCAATGAACATTCACAAGAACTCCAAGGCCCAATTTGACTTGGGAGGAAGAAGGGCCCAACTTCTGTCAGATGTAACATCTAGTTCAGCCATGAAAATGCCTCCCTCCCAGGCTGCTTTAAGCAACAGTAAAGGAAAAAAGGCAGGTGTTCATAATGCCTTTCCCCCCCTCCTAGGACATAAAGCTATATAGAGTGGCCAATTATAGTTGGAGAAATGGTGGAAAGGCAGAGTTAAATGCCCTCTTTTCCATGACCATGGCCCCAACTGATATCAGGCAGCCCTCTAAGTTTGCTTTTTTGCAGCCTGGTTACACATCTGATCATTCAGTCCCCAACATTACAGAAAAGGAACTACAGGAGAGGGGATGGTTACAGATAAGCACAGGACTTCAAAACTTTCACAACTGCACAGCATTGCAGAGTACCGTACATAATAAGATCTATCAGAATAAGCCCACTTTTTAAAAAAAGAAAAGGAAAGCTACGTGATTTAAGAGCTAATCAGCCTTGAATGACATCCAAAGGAACAATATCTTGTAGTAATTTTCTTAAGCCTGTAATAGCAACTCTATTTCAGTTGAACAGCTCTTACCTCAGATTCCAAACCAGCTGCAGTAATGTTCATTCTACTGCTTAATCATTGGTTCTCTCAGTTGTTTGTATTAAATTACAATCCAAAATTAGTTTATTGAAGATGTCAACACTTGGCCCTCTTTCTTACCTTTAGTGGGTAAATATGAAAAAGTAGCAGATTTTTTAAAGTTCTTTGCAAGCAAATCCATCTGAACCAATCACCATTACCGGATGGATTTATGGAAGAAACTGCTATAGACTCTAGCATTCAAACTTCTCAAGAACCAACTATTCCAGAAGATTCAAAGATTCTGTAGCTTTCATTTGGGAAATTATTTCACGTACTCTGTGAACCAGAGACAACTCAGGGTAATAGCTATCACCCTCATGTTGGACAGCTGCATTCTGTGCCTAGGAACGATGACTTTCTATATGTGTAGGACTGCTCTAGAGAGCAGTCAAAGTTATGCCACAGGAAAATCAAGCCTTTTTGTCTTGATGTCTGTTCAAATAAGTCCTTCATTCTTATTTTCTTCAAAACAAGGGCTCACTTCAGGCATTACATGAAACCATTGTTTACTTAAAATAATTATGGCCAATGTGATTGTCCAAATGCAAGTCACTCCACTAGTTACAAGTAATAAGGATAGATCAAACCAGGATCTGACAATATGGCTCTCATCAGCCACAGTCTTAACAATGGTTTCACATGATATATAAAGGTAGATTTTCTGGCTTGTATCTTAATGCCACCCTTGGCACATTGCATGCTGGGATATGACCCAGGTTCCATTTGTGTGTGTGTGTGTGTATTTGTTGAGGGAAATCAAGCTTTGAGTGTTCATAAATCCTCATTTCACAAACCAACTATAGTTAAAATCAACCATGGTTGTATTATGTCTGAACCAAGTCTCAAAGTAAGATGGCACCTTATTGTTTTAAAAACCACAGCTATGAATTGAGGCAGTCTTCAGCAAGTCAAATCATCCAATGCCCATTCCAAATACAATTGTGTTTTTTTAAAGAAACTTTTTATTATCTTAGATTTGATTCTGCTCCCATGAAAATTGTTAAAACAACAGATGAAACTTGATATAATGCAAATTACATTACATTATAAGAGAATAAAAATGGGGATGATCAAGTGTTTACATACCTAAACCTTCAGATTCAAACAGACAAGTATCATCCACTCCTACATCTCTGCACCAGGATAAGAAATTTGCAGTGTTGTCCCGTGCAAAAAATGATCCAGAAGGTGCATTGGCTTTGCATGGAATTTTCCTCACCGGCATTATCTATAAGACAAATATAAAATCCATATCATTGTAAATACTGTAGAAAAATGCTTAATTAGTTGGACAGCAAGGTACCATTGTTACCAGCCATTACAAACTCATATGAAACAGTGTTATAACATTGATTCTTGAAGCACTGAGCTGCAGGGATTAAACCCCAGACTTTCTGCATATACCACAGATGTTCTGCTATCAAGTATGCCCCCTACAATTGTCATTATTCTTAAAATCAGTCTAAAAACAGAACGTTCCTTCCCCAACCAGCTCAGAGTTGACAATGAAGTCAACAAACAAAAATAATGGTGAGAGAAGAGGATAAGGAAAGGAATGTCACTATGCAAACAAAAATATTGTTATACCATTAATGGGGTGGTGAGAAGTTGTGTTTAGCTTCCTTTGCATAATAGAAGACCTGAGTTGGATGGTGCTTTTGTAATATCTGCTTATTTTACAAATACACAAGCAGAATATAAGTGGACACAAAGAAGTTCTTCCGCCATGGAGCAGATGCATTACCCCATATCAGATCCCCAGGGAGATCCTGCACCCCAAGGTGCTTGCTTTCAAACAACCCTCAGGTCCCTAGGAACAAAGATTTATTTATTTTATTTATTTACATTAATTGTAGTCCACCTTTCCATTGAAATTCAAGGAAGATTGCAATCAATGCAATCAACCGGATGGGACATCCAGTAAACAGTGTGTAATAGGGTTCAGTTTCCAGAATCTGAAACCAAACAGAAACAATGCTTATAAGCAAAGGTCATTTCAGGGGGGATCGTGGAAGATCGCAGTTCCCCCGGGTGAGGTACAGGGGACGGGGCACATGACAAAGCCCCACCCCCTGCTTCCGGCCGCCCCGCCTCCGGCCCTTATTCAGCCAGGAGGAGGCAGGAGAAGAGGGAGGGTAAGTTGCTTCCTCCCTGCCTCTCCCTACCCCTGCCTGCCTGGGGCCAGGGAGGGCCTTCGCAGGGCTTTCTTGCACTCCCGCTGGCCTTGGAGGTCCACCGCCGGGCCCCTCATGGGGCTCGGCGGTGGAGCTGCAAGGCCGGCGGCGGCCGGGACTGTTGGGGGGCGGGGTGTGTGGCCTTATGACACACTTCTGGTGATGTCAGGGGGTGTGGCCTTATGACACTTTCTACGAAACGACCCCTGCTTATAAGAAGAATCATCCTATTGATTGCGTTCATTTACATGGTGTAACCCACCTTGAGTCTCAGTGAAAAAGGTGGATTATAAATAACATAAACGAACAAACAAATAAAAATTAACATGGCATGTTAAATGATGCAGAAATTACACAGTAGGATATTACACATAACAACAGATAGTACGTACTATACACATTATAATCCGCAGTCCCTCTCCCATTATTAAAACATCTTTCTAAATGATGTAGTTATAATATAGTTCTATGACAGGGGTGTCAAACCTACGGCCTGCAGGCCAGAAGCAGCCTGCCCAGGGCTTTAATCAGGCCCGCGGCTCTCTTCTCCACCCCCATCCCTCCCCTGCCTGTCCTCGCCCTTTGGAGAGAGATCGGAACTTCCCAGCTGACTGGGCCTTGTCTTCACAGTTTCTCCTCCAGCAGGAAGCTCCTCTAGGCTAAAGCACACAAAAAAAGCTGCAAAGAAAATGCAGAATGGATTTTCCTTTAAGGTCTCTAGGCCCAGATAGACTACTCTGGGACTGGAATTACTGCCCCCAGAGTGGAATGATGGTTCCTGGGAGTAGCAGCTGCTTTCTTGGAATGGAATTCCACTCTGGGGGCTGTCATTCCAGTCCCAGAGTAGTCTATCAGGGACCAGAAACCTCAATGGAAAATCCATTCCATATTTTCTTTGCAACTTTTTTTGAGCTGCAATGTATTTCAATGGAGTAGAGTTTCAGTTTCCAGTGTTTGTATGCCAGTTGAATTTGACTGCTTGCAAATAAAGGACTGATGTTTTGAGCCAGCTTGCCTCTGCTGAATGGACCTGAGAACAGGTGCCTGAGTGAGTACTCTAACCTGGGAACACACAGCCAGAGGGGGACATTATGCTGGAGAGCCACTGCCACTCCGAGTAGACTGGAGGTGGGGGGTGGGGGTGGAGCTTGCAATACCCAGCCATTACATGTTCTCCTAGGCTCAGAGCATTTATATTTTTATTTTCTGCTGTGATCCTTGTGCTTTTTCTAGATGTTTTATTTTAAAAATAGCATTGCCAAATACCACTATCCCCCCACTTTTCCATTTTAGGTAGGCATCTTTTAGGGGGAGGGGAGGTTTGGGAAGTGTCAGTTATCAAAGACTGTTAAATAAAATATAGCAAGAGTGTTACTGTTTTAAGCATGTTTGTATTTTAAGTTTAAAAACCCTTTAACTGTGTTTGTCGGTGTCCTTTATAAAGTTAATATCTTCGCTACCTGGCATTACATTTTATGACAAACATGGCCTAGCCCAACAAAGTCCTATTTATATCAGATCCGACCCTTGTAACAAATGAGTTTAACTCCCCTGTTCTATGATCTATACAACAATGCCCTCCTGAATTATATACACAGAACTTTGGAAGTGTTACTTTCTCTGATGGTCATCTTCATCGATAATATGCAAGAAATATCTCCAGCGTCACCTGACCATCTCCAGGGCTCACTGTCTACCCAAACTATTCATACAACTGATTTGGTAGCACAATGAGGAGGAGCTCACCAATGGGGCTCAGTTTACTCACAGCTGCCAACAGTACAGGAGGAGGCAAGTTGCATAGTTTACAACCACTGTCAGATCCAAGCCAAGTCCCTCTGCTGCTCCTAGCACTGCAGAGGTTCAACTTGCTCCTCCGTGCAGCATACCTGCTTAGGATGACAACATATTTTTAATTGCCCTGACCATCTCCTTCCATTCACTCCCACTGATGCAATATCCAAGTATTAACAAACAGCCAGTAGTTGTAACACCATGTTCAAAATTATAGCAGCAAACCCAGTTTAAATCTTAAAATAGATTGACAAGGATCCAAAGGTCTTCAGCTCATGCACTGGGTCTTTTATGAGCTATCTTGTCACCACAACTCTTCATAGTCCTCAAAACTTTTGTAAAGTTATTAGAGATTTCAAGGCACTGGTAATTTTACTCTGAAAACTAAATTAGTGGCCAAATTCTTCAGTTTTTATGTGGCACTAACTTCTAGGTAGAGGAAGAAAGATCTACTAGAGCCATATAAACAGATGGGGGGGGCGTGATCACAAAGCAGCTTTCTTCTCTCCTCCATTTTATCCTTACAACAACTCTGTGGGAAGTCGCCTGTGAAGTAAGTGAGATGGAGAATATGTAACTGGCCGAAGGTTACCCCACCACCTGCAGCCTTGACCTGTGCCCATCATAGGGTTGCCAAGTCGATAATCGTTGGGAGTGGGGGACTCCCGTCCAGCATCCAATGTGTGTGCATGTGAAGCATGCGTGCACCGCACGCACATCACCAGGAAGTGACGTTATGACGCCGGGCATGCTGGGGGCGGGGCCACGACCATCCAAGGGGGAAACATAGAGTTTTCCCCTCGGATGGTCGTGGCCCCGCCCCCAGCGTGCCTGGCGTCATAACGTCACTTCCTGGTGACGCGCACGTCGGGGTGGGGTTCCCCCTGGGGCCCAATCCGCCGGCGGCGGGGAATGGGCCTCTGGGGCAGGGGACGTGGCAGCCCTAGCCCATCATGGCTGATTAAAGCTAGCCATGATGAGTTGTGAGGTTCCCTGTGGGAGATAGTTAACAAGTCCCTCTCTGAAGGGACTTTCCCAAGGGCACTTAAGGAAGCAGTGGTTCACCCTCTCTTAAAGAAACCATCCTTGGATTCGGCAGAATTGGTAAACTACCAGCCGGTTTCCAATTTGCCCTATTTGGGCAAAATAATTGAGAGCAATGGCAAGTCACTTGCAGAGTTTTCTGGATGATGCTTTCGCCCAGGCCATGGCACAGAGATGGCACTAGTTGTCATCATGGATGACATCCAAAGACATCTGGATAAAGGCAGGATGGTGGTACTGTTGCTGTTAGACCTGTCAGCTGCATTCAACATGGTTGACCATCAGTTACTGATCTACCGCCTCACCAATGCTGGAATTCCGGGGTCCACCTTTACAATGGCTTGCCTCCTTCCTCCAGAGTCAGGGACAAAAGGTAGCGCTTGGGGAAGAGCTGCCCCAAAGGCATCCACTGATTTGCAGAGTGCCCCAAGGGGTGGTTCTATCCCTGGTCTTATTAAACATCTACACGTGTCCCCTTGCCCAGATTCCCAGAGCTATGGACTGGGTTGTTACCAGTATGCTGATGACACCCAGCTATATCTGCTGTTGGGCAGCTGGTCTGACTCTGGGAAAGAAGATCTGGACCTGGCATTACAAGCTGTGGCTGGATGGCTTAGACTGAGCCAACTGAAATTGAATCCAATGAAGATGGAGGTTCTGTGCCTAAGTCACAAGAGTCCAGGGTTAGGGATCTCACTCCCTACCTTCAATGGGGTGCCCCTGATGCCATTGCTAGAGGTTAGGAGTTTGGGAGTGCTCTTGAATACCTCCTTAACGATGGAGGCCCATGTAGCAGCCACTGCCAAGTCAGCCTTTTGCCATCTTTGGCTGATTAGGCAGCTGATTCCCTTCCTCGAATGCAGTGACTTGGCAACGGTAATCCACACAATGGTCACTTTGAGATTAGACTACTGCAACACTTTCTACATGGGGCTGACTTTGTCCCAAATTTGGAAGCTGCAGCTGGTGCAGAATGCAGCAGTCAGGCTGTTGTTGGGTCTCCCTCTGCGAGAGCACATCCAACCTGCACTGAAAGCACTGCACTGGCTGCCTATAGCATACCTATAAAGTCCTTTACAGTCAGGGGCCAGCATACCCACATGTTCCCCAGAGAGTACTGCGTTCAGGGACATAAAACCTTCTGGTTCTCCCTGGCCCTAAAGAGGCCAGACTGGCCATTACCAGGGCTAGGGCCTTTTCTGTGGCAGCTCCATGC